TTTAATGCTTATCACCATTAAGACGTGTTTGTGATTTATATTGCTTTAGAGAGGTACCGTATAAATTTCGCACATGGCAATAAAAAAATATAGGATCTAATAATAGATACCGATATACTATTATGCTCCATGATATCGTGAATCATTATCTTTGTGTTTTAATGCATGCTTATATGTTCGCAATATGTTTTGAGATTATTATGCTTACGTATAAGGATAGAATTATTTTCATCTTAAGAAGACTGTTGATTAAAAATGGATCATTGATTTTCAACCTAAACAAGAATTAATCATCGTCTTCTTTCATACATCTTTTCTTGTTAAGAGCATGTTTGAGTTCCATTTTTGGTTAAAAATGAATTTTGAAATAGTAGATTGATGGAGAATGTGTGATTAAAAAATAAGAAATTTTTTTGAATTTGTGGGTAATATTTTTTTATTGAAAAAGTTTGATTGAAAAGAAGATATAGAAAAATGTATTTTGAAAATAACGAGATCAAACAAGGGCTAAACCACACTTATGCGTTCAGCTACACATGCATAACTGCATGAAATGTCTCAATTTCCTCATCCTCCTCCTCCTCCTCCTCCAGTAGTTTTACCTGTCGTATTCTCTCATGTAATTACTAAATATTTAATCTACATGGATATTTGACGAACAATTCCCCTTGTACAGGGAAATTATTTACGTATCTGTTATAGGTGCTGTGCTGGCAGCACCTGTATGGTCTTTTATTTTTTGGCAACCTCCAATTAGATGTTGCCATGTGTTGTGAGTGAAAAAAAAAATAAAAAAAATCATGTGTCTGACACGGTTGGCATTTGACTAATTCGACGGAGATTTGGTTTGCATTGTTCTTGGGTAAATAGTAACAATTAGGGTTGATTGCAAATGTGGAAAATATGTGGAAATGAAATGTTTTACTGGGAATTGAATTATTTAGAATTTGTTTTAGTGAGAATTGTAATTTAATTGTGTTTGATTGGTATAATTTTTCATCTGATCCGTTTGTCTTTGTTTTTCATGAAAATTATCAATTAAACGGATCAAATTTCTTACAATTGGGAATATAATTTATTTAGATTGCCAAATTTTTTTTAAAAAACAAAAATTGAAAATTTGGT